CTCTCCTTAAATCCCTGTGTGGTGGCGGCGTGCCGTTCTCCCATCCCTCCCTTGGGGTGTGTGTTTTCTTTCTTTCTTTTACACTGGGCAAAAGAAAAAACGCACCTCGGAGCGCGGCAAGCGGCGTGGCGTGGAGCGGTTGAGCATCCCTCCGGGGGCCCCTCTGCGCCGGGGAGGCGTTGTTGGAGGCTAGGACGCAAGCGTCCGTCGCCCTTTTCAAACTCGGTCGGGGCCCACTCCGCTACGCTCCGACCCGAATTTGGAGGGCCTAAAAGTTTAAGGTGTTGCTGCGCAAAATGGGTCGGACACAGGCTAGAAGGGGAGCTCGAGAGAACGACTACCCTGTCCCGTTATTGCGTACACCAACACCACAAAAGCTCTCTCTCTCCTGTCCTCACTCAGGGGGGTCACAACTACCGAGTCCCGCGACTAGCTGCCACGTTGCCGACAGAGAGCGGATCTCCTCCTGCTCCGCAAGGAGGGTGGCCAAGGCTAAAGTCTTGCCGGAGCCGCCGGGCGCGTTGACGACTTGGAGAAGGTCGCCCTTGCACTTGTACTTGTAGAGATGCTCGAGGGGGTGCTTTGTGGGGCGGTGCGCAGCCAGGCCAGCAGTGAGTGGAGGCACCCTCACTCTCCTCGGTTGCAAAGCTCGTCGGAGGCTGCGTCACGACGGGAGGGTCGCGACAGCAGTCCTCGGGCGAGCCGACGCGCATGCATGTCCAACCAGCGCTGGGACTCGTTGTGACGGCAGACGCCGGCTGCCTCTCCAACCGCTTCTGCAGCGTCCTTCTTTGCCCGGTGCATGGGCTCGATCCGATTCCGCAGCGTGTCGTCCCCAGCGGCGGTGCTGCGCGGGAGGCGGCCGCGGGCACGCTGGGCTCGATCAGGAGCTTTCCCTCAGTTGCTCCGAAAGCACGGATTTGGCGGACGTTCTTGGCTTCAATTTTACGAATCTTGTCAACACAATCGAATGTCTGGCACCAGCTGAAGGCTTGCACGGCTCACATCACGCAGTTTTGTGCACGGTATTCGGATTTTGCTATTTGCTCGTGTGGGGGTATATTGCAGATTTGTCAATGGTACCGCGTCTGCGACGCGGGCGCCTTGCGGGCAGAGCCCTTAGCCACCCTTTATATCTTGCGCGGTCAAAATTAAATGATAAAGCAGCAGGGAGAACGACGAGAGTGGGACGACCGCGAGGTGGCATGAAAAGGTTGCAGCGAGAATCGGCGAGGGATTGCGCGGAAGAGAGATAGGAAGAGGCGGGCGCCGCCCAACCCCAAGCGCCAAGGCGCCTCTGGGGGGAGGCGGGGGCCCCCGGAGGCACCGTGCGCCGCGCAGCAGTGCGGAAACGGGGCTGCCTCCGGCGCTCATACACATACTCGCTCATACTACCGACTTCCCGATTAAGTACGGTTAAGTAGAGGGCAGATTTGGAGAGATCTCGAGGAGTACATACAGATAGACCCTCCAATCATGAGAAACCTCCAACCTGATCGGTCGTACTGACCGCCGACAGATCACTCCAGACAGCAGACAGGCCGACGTCTGCACGCGGCCGGCTGGGCGAGAGGCTTGACACGATCCGAACCTGCGATCCTGATGCTGCTGCTCTAGCTATCAGACATGCACTGCTGACTGCTGCCACAATGTGCGACCTGTCCCACTTGGCGGCCTTCCCGGTCAGTGGTGAGGCGCAGTTCAGAGCTGTCGATGGCGCGACGCCGCACTGGTCCCACATTGGTGACATGAGACCACCACGTTTGCCGGAGGGTCCAAGAGAGAGGCACTGGCGCTGTCCTGAGAAGGTACATGGTCCCTCTTGACTGCCCATGCGCGCGAGGCTGTGTAGGCATAGCCTCGAGAGTGCCAGCAGCCAATCCGAGGCAGTTTGTGACGCGCATTGCGTCAGAAGCGTGCACGCGCTGGAAGGACACCTTCCTACTGGCCGTACGATCAGGTCGTCACTGAATGCTGGATACTAAGGCCGCCAGCTATGCAGGTGGTCAATTGTGCAGCAGGGCACGGTCAGCAGCGCCGACAGGCTGTCGCAAGGCGTGATAGCATGGCCGCAAGTACGGTACGTACGGCGAATTCCCACGAAACAAGTAAATAACGCACGGGCCCTCAGCGGAGCTGGGAAGAGGACCGCCGCAAGTGGCGTGGCGTGGAGCGGTTGTGCATCCCTCCGGGGGCCCCTCTGCGCCGGGGAGGCGTTGTTGGAGGCCAGGACACAAGCGTCCGTCGCCCTTTTCAAACTCGGGGCCCACTCCGCTACGCTCCGACCCGAATTTGGAGGGCCTAAAAGTTTAAGGTGTTGCTGCGCAAAAGGGGTCGGACACCGGGCGCAGCTCATGCTAAGAGCTAGAAGAGGAGATAGAGAGAACAACCACCCTGTCCCGTTATCGCGTACACCAACACCACAAAACGCTCTCTCTCTCCTGTCCTCACTCAGGGGGGTCACAACTACCAAGTCCCTCGACTAGCTGCCACAGGGCGCAGCTGCCACAGGGCGCAGCTGGAGACGCTCCCCCTCAATCGGCATCCACCCCCACCCGCTCCAGCCCCACTTCTGCTGCCGAGAGAGCTGAATCGAAGCAAGCGAGCCATTGCATCTTGGCGTGCTCCTGGAGCGCGGCTTTCTGCGGCCACGAGCACGGCGGAGTCGGCGTCGTAGCGCGCATCGTTCCCGCTCATCGCCCATTCCTCCCGTGACGTGTGTCGGCCGCGATTCGATGTCGCCACCTTCATCGCCAACGAGGACTCCCTCGACTGCAGGGGGGCTCCGGCGCGGGGAGGGACTCCGCCTGCTGCGCTGGCCGACTGCGCCCTCCTCCTCCATGGGATCGATCCGATTCCGCAGCGGCGGTGCTGCGCGGGAGGCGGCCGCGGGCACGCTGGGCTCGATCAGCGGCTTTCCCCTCAGGTAGCGCGAAAAGCACGGATTTGGCGGATTCTTGGCTTGAATTTTACGAATGTCTTGGCACCAGCTGAAGGCTTGCCCCCGTCCACGGCCCAGATCGCCCAGTTCGTGCACGGTATTCGGATTTTGGCTATTTGCTCGTGTGGGGGTATATCGCAGATTTGTCAATGGTACCGCGTCTGCGACGCGGGCGCCTTGCGGGCAGAGCCCTTAGCCACCCTTTTATCTTGCGCGGTCAAAAATCGAGCAAAAAAACGGGAAAAAATCGGCGCCTGCGGCGGGCCATGGGACCCCCCCCCCCCCCGCATGGATACCCTCTAGGGCCCCCGCCTCCCCCCAGAGCAAGGCGGAAGGGTGGTGGGGTGGGGGCTGGGGGTCGAGGGGCTGGGGGGCTGGGCGACGCCGACGCGCGACGGCTAGCAACACAGAACACACCTTCTTTCACCTTCCAGTGAAATGCAATCCCTGTGTGGTGGCGGCGTGCCGTCCTCCCATCTCCCTCTTTTGGGTTGTGCATGATCTATGAAACACTGTATATATGTCGTGTTTTCTTTCTTGCTTTTTTACGAGGCGACAGGCGTACGCGAGAGTGTGCGCTGCATCCTGCAAGCAAGAGACTAGAGAGCAAGAGAAGAACAGCTCGCTCGCCCACGCGCGCCGCGCGCGTCTGCAGCGCGCCGCGAGCGCGCCACACCACCACGCCGCACGCCGACGCCGATCCACCAATCTCCCGCCGCTGGCCTCTGCGCTCTGGCCTGGTGCGACTAGACAGCGGAGGCCCCGCACGCTCACCCGCCGCCATCGCCCGAGCGGGGGGGGGGGGGGGGGACGCGCCGTGCTTCCTCCTCTCTCCGCCCCCCGCCCTCCCAGCTCCCCGCCCTCCGGGATCTACTCCGACTAACGTGGTGCCCTGCCGGCCCGCCGGCTCAGATGGAGGACATGGCCTGCTTGCGCACCTCCCGCGCCGCCCCCTCGCGCGCCAGCCCCGCCGCCTTGGCCGCCACCCGCCGCGTGGCCGCCTCGGACGGCACCTCGCCCATCAGCGAGCGGGCCCACCCCTCGAGCAGCAGCACGCGCGCCTCTGCGCGGCCGAGCCCGCGCGCCTGCAGTAGAACAGACCACCTCCCACATCTCCCTCTATCTCCCCATATCTCGAGGAGGGGAGGCGCCTGCAGGTAGAAGACCATCTCGTCGTCGAGGTCGGCGACGGTGGCCCCGTGCGTGCACACGACGTCGTCCGTCAGGATCTCGAGGTTGGGCGAGATGTCGACGCGCGCCGAATCTGAGAGGAGCAGCGAGCGGCAGAGCTGGTTGGCGGTGGTGTTGTCCGACCCGTGCGGCACCTGCACCGCCCCGCGAAACACAACCTGCGAGCGGCGGGGGACGGGGCGGGTGGTGGGGGGGGAGAGGGCTCGCAAGCGGCTGCACCGCGGGGCGGAGGGATCCCTCGCGCGGCCGGCGAGGGCGTTGCGCTGCTCCTGCTCGGAGGAGCCTGCAGGCCGACATGGAGGGCGTGAGAGGGGTGCGCTGGTGCGCTGGGTCGGCTGTTGCGCTGCGGATCAGAGTTGCAGTCGGGAGAGACGTGCCGCACGGCGGAGTGGAGGTCGAGCAGCTGCGACTCGGAGCCGAGGGCGATCCCGTTGAGGGAGGCGTGCGAGTGCCTCCCCTCGAGCCG